TTGTGGTGCTGGAGGAGGCTCTTGAGAGTCCCCTGGACTGCAAGGAGAACAAACCTATCAATTCTAAAGGAAATCAACCCTGAGTGCTCACTGGAAGGACAGATCCTGAAGCTGAGGCTCCAGTACTTTGGCCATCTCATGAGAAGAGAAGACTCCTTGGAAAAGACCTTGATGTAAGAAAGTGTGACGGCAAGAGGAGAAGGGGACGACAGAGAATGAGATGGCTGGACAGTGTCTGCGAAGCAACCAACATGAAATTGACACAACTACGGGAGGCAGTGGAGGATAGGAGGGCCTGGCGTGCTCTGGTTCATGGGGTCACGAAGAGTCGGACACGACTAAACGACGATGACGACAGCAGTCCATACCATGTTTGCCCGAAAATAAGACAGGGTCTTATATTAATTTTTGCTCCAAAAACCACATTAGGGCTTATTTTCAGGGGATGTCTTATTTTTTTCCATGTACAACAATCTACATATATTCAAACAATCATATCATTGTCTGGTTGCTGCACAATGCTGCACAATGTTGGAGGGTGGGATTTCGTTTCACTGGGGCTTATTTTAGGGGTAGGGCTTATATTACGACCATCCTGAAAAATCATATTGGGGCTTATTTTCAGGTTAGGTCTTATTTTGGGGGGAAAAGGGTCGCTACTGTTTCTCAAAAAGTGCATTTATAGATTTGTTCAATTGCAAACCATTAAGCAGACTCCATCATGTTTGCAGCTAATATATACTGTATTCAGACTAAGTCTGATACTAGCCAGGTCCAGCACCTAGTATTCTCCTGCCTAAAGTGGAGCCAGCCAAAGTATTTTGATGGAAAATTTTGCCAACACCCTTCCTTTCTCTCTGCAGTAAAATAAAAACTGAACAAAAAATCTGCTTCTAAATCAAAGCACCAAACAACTGCTCTCTGAAGCTCTTTGTTAGATCACTCTGCCCAGTGTAGAGGTGTGCAACTTTCAATGGTTTGGGAGACTTTCACAGATCTTGCAAGGCTGCATCTTTGAAACCCAAAATGCCCGGGAAAAAGAATATCCTCCTAAATGAAAATTCATGGGGTGCAATTTTCAAGGGTGCCATACAAGGTTTTGGAGGCCACACTACATTTTGCCCATCCCTGGTCTTATAATATGACCAGCCCACTCATTATCTCAGTCCAGGTATTCTAGCTATCTGTCAGCTAAGAAAACAGAGTTACCTTTGCTGGCCTCATCCCTTCACCACTTACTGTACCTGCTACCCTACCTTCCTATGGACAAATATTTGCACTAGGGATCCTCTTCTACACAACATATGTAAGCTGACTGTGCAGGGGCAGACCCCTTGCTTCTAACACAGCTACAAAGTCATGCAATGGAGGCGGTGGGGACAATTAACACAATTTGTGTGAGGTTTACAATGCCTGAACAGGGCTTCTGAATGTAGTAAGTTATAGTTTCAGATCCATCAATCTCTGATTTGAATCCATGGTCTTTGGATGTACTGCACTCCATGCTAAATAGTTACCAGCTTTGTGGCTGGAACAGAGCCCATGTTTTGTGTGGCAGATGAAAATCTTCCCTCCTTACATTGTGTATCTGTTGCCTGCCCACTTCCTCCTTCCCTGGGAAAAAATTCCTATCAACATACATCATAAGAACAGTCTGTTTCTTTAAATTGTGATCTGATATGTATGTACCTCCTGGCTTTGGGAGACAGCACCTCTTCAAAATGAAAATCTCATTTCCAGATCTCAGAGTGCAGCCTTTGAGAGCATTGATGAGTTCTTGGACACTAGGGAACTCCTGCTGCCAACCTTCCAGCACAAAGGAATTTCCTTTCTTCTGGATCCGGAATTGCTTGTAGCTTGTGGCGTCTTGGACCTGAGAGCTCTGGTGAACACAAGCAGGAAGGAATAGATTTAGCAAGCGTAAGAAATGGACACCTGCCTGCAAAGGCAGTCAAAAGCATTGCCTGCAAATTGCACACTAGAGGGACAGGCCTGCCGCTAAACTAAGCTGCAAGAGGCATTCCAAATAGTTTTTTTATTTCTCCTGCTGATCACAAGCAAGTCAAAAGACAACACGTTCATACTTTCTTCTTCCCTTTTCATGACAAAAATGAACCTTGCTAGATCAGACCAGAGCTCCATCTAGCATCTTATTTCCAGCCATGACCCAGCCAAGAGCAGGAAGTGTATATTTCAAGTGTTGTGGTGTTGCTTCTTAGAGAACTGGTCCTTTATACAGCATCTGAGGAAGAGGTATAACATGCTATATTCTGGTAGTGGTTTCTGCGCTGGTAATGCCTGGTTTACTAGATCCTTCAGCATAAGGCCATGCTCATTTCCAGAGAAGTTCAGGGGCTTCGGGCAGGAGACCAAAGAATCATTGAGCCTCAGGGCCTAAGGTTCCCCACCTCTGATCTAATAACAAAACAAGGAAGTATGGATTTATTTACCAACTGGCTTTATTTATTTTTAAAGCAGAAAACAGGGTTCTATCACAGATAATGAACAGGTCTCATTTTAGTGAGAAAGAACACTGTTTATCATGGATTGCCATGTTTGCTTAATTCAAGATTCTTAAACCCTACTTGAAATGTGATGCCACACACCACGATGACCATGTCTAACCTTCTATGGCCTGTATGCTGGATACAGGAACAGACCATATGGGAAAGTGGGCTAGTAATTTTAATTACAGTAATTTATTAACACAATCCTACAGTGAATTCTCAGAGTCAGTTCAGACATTACACCAAATGGCAGTTTGGTCTACCAGCTATACAACAAAAAAGCCATGTTAAGAACTGCTTGTTTGCTTTTGTTTTCCATATGCTTAACACTCAGGTTTCAATGCCACAACTGTCTTCACAGTAGAATCATGGCGTATAATGATGCTCCCCAGAAGAAGGAGAGATGGGGGAGCAGGGCCATTTCAGTGACTCCTCTGAGAGATCAGCTGCCTTTTGCTTTTTCCCCTTCCACACTGTCACTGGACAGCAGCCATTTTGCCAGGCTGAAGGAATAAAGGAAGCAGGAAACAAACACTCCCTCAACTCTACTGAGACATTGACTCTTGTTCGTTCCTCCCCTCCCTGAATTATTTCTGTCCCAGCTAGCCATTTCAGAATGTAGCAATTGTACAAACTGGCATGTCAATCTGCTTCTCATCCACCCCCATTCTTTTCTCATTTTCTAAAATTGTGCCCTTTACAGTGTAAACATAGGACTAAGTTCAATTAGAGTCCTACCTTTAAGATATTAAAAAGTTCTTTGTCATAAATAGCTTAAATCATATTGATTTCACTGGGTCTACTCTAGGCAGGACTAGTGCTTTATTTTAGCTGAGTGTTAAGGCAATGTTGATGCATACCGACAGATGCACTCCAGACCTCAACCCTTCTTCCCAAGGGTTGAGGTCAGTTTTCCATTCTCTTTATCTCTATGGGAAATGAGTTGGACAACGTGGTGACAAAAGACCGGCACAAATTTAAAAGAAAAGGTCCATGCAGCCTTTAGCCACATTGCCTAAAATCAAAAGTTGCATGCTCACACTGGGAAGAGGCTCCCAGTACAGAGGCTCCCCTGTACAGCAACAGGAGCAAAACATGCTTGGAGAAGAATCTACAGAATCAGTATAACCATTGCCACACCACCAAACCTCACCTGGCTTTTCCTCTGTACTGACAAGATCAACCTATTGAAGTCAAGGACACTCCAGCGGAGGACGTACAGCCCATCCTCCTGTTCCTCCCGCCTCAGTTTAACCAAAATGAACTCCTCCCTGGGGAAAAAAAGTTTTCAGATACAACCTGTGAGGATTCTGGGTTCCAAGTCAGATGTAAGAAGAGAATATCTGGCAGCATTTTTATTTTCTTACATTTTCATGTCATTATCAGTTTCCTGTCCACCAGGTTTTTAGAAATGATGTACAACAGATTAGAAGGATTAGAAACAAATTCAAAAGACTTAAAAGCAAATTTAAAACATTCTCTAAAGGCCAATGTTCAAATTAATCCAGAAGACCAAAGGTCTTTCACAAAAATACATTTTGGCCTGCTTTCTAGATGCTCAGCTGGGATAGCGCTAGCTTGACTTCCCCAGGAAAAGGGCTCTCCAACTGAGATCCTGCTACAGAGAAAGCCCTGGCTTGCTTAAGTAGAAGCTACTTACTGCATGGGTCCATGGATACCATTCTGGATGCTCATGACCAGTCGTGGTGGGGCTACTTCATGACACAGGTAATGGCTAGAGTCAGCTGTCAATCTGAAATAACCATCTACCAGTGAAACTAATGATAATGCAACTTTATGGGAGGTAAGAGTCAGCTCCTGCATAGAAAAATGTAAACACATAGCTGTTAGGCCTGAACCACAGTGCTGGATTGAAGACCCCTGAGAAAATACATTCTGAAGATCTGTACTGCTCTTATATCCATCCACCAGGTCTTCTTGCAGTTCCTCACAGATGCTTCTTTTGTTACCACATTAATACTATACTCTTTCACACAAAACTAACCTTAATGTGTCTGCATATATTGCTCTTAAACCCATCTCCATCCCTCACCATGTACATTGATATCGCTACATTTGGTGAAGAATGACTCCCGCCTACCAGGCACTTATTATCTTGACGGTGGATGCTGACTTTGTAGTCCTTGACAACAATGTGCGTGATCTCCTGGAAGTCACAGAAGTGCACCCATTTGAGTTCACACTGTTCCCCTGACAAATAGGTCCGCTTGGACTTGTAGTCTTTAGTCTTCATTTTCCTTCCCAGATAACTTCTATGAGGATAGCTCTGCAATCTCTGCAAGGAAAAGATAAAAAGGCAGTGCCTGAATTTTGGAGTTTTCACAGCAGTAGGGACTCCACTATTACAATCTAGCTGTAATAAGAGCATGTCCTTGAGCCATCCTCCCCATCGGTCAAGAGACAGATAACTTTCTATCCTCCAAGAACAGCTTCAGGATTCGTGACAGAAAAAAAACAACCCTGAATGATACCATTTGTAAGTTTGAGTGAAAGTGAGGGAGGACTTTTCACTTTCAGAATTTCAGGATTAGTTTGGGTACAAAGACCCAAAGTGTGCATGACCTGCTTTCTCCAGAAGCAGATTTTTTTTCTGAGTCTTTGAGTCAAGTGGACCAATACGAAAGATTCTGCCCTTACGAGATAAACATCCAAAAGGTAGGTAGCCATGTGGGTCCACTGGAACTGTGGAAGACCAAAGCAAAAATAGCAACCTTTTAAGATCAACTGAGAAGTGCCAGTTAACTAATCTTAGAGTGTGCCAATATTCTTCAAGGTACATATTAACCAAAAGAGCCAGGAAACCAGAAAAAGGAAAGAAAGGTATTTCTGGGTATGATGAAAACCTTCATGCTCCAAAAATCTGTAAAAGGCTTTGGATTCTTTTTAAGGAGAAAGGCAGATTAAAAATATTTTAAATAAATAAATAAACACAAACAAGCAAATTGTATGGACATTTTTATCAATAATTGTTTTTTCTATAATATCTATTCTCTCCAGCTTGTAATACTCTCTATCATGTTTCTTTAGGATTTTCCCCCTCTTTTCGAAAGCTGGCAGCGCTAAAGATACAGTGGTGCCTCGCATAATGATTTTAATTGGTTCCAAAAAAACCGTTATGTGAAACATCGTTATGCGAAACACCAGTTTCCATAGGAATGCATTGGAAACCGGTTAATCCGTTCCAATAGGCGCGGATTGCCGTCCTTAAGCGAAAAAACCCATAGGAAACATCGTTAAACGATACAATGTTTCCTCCATTGGAATGTATTGTAGCTGACTCAATACATTTCAATGGCTTTGCGAAGTCAATTTTTGCAAAATTAAGTGTGTCATAAAAGGGTCAAAAATGGTTTTAAATGCTTGGATTAGCTTCTGCACCCTCTAAAACGGATGCAAAAGTTAATTTGGCTTTGATCTGACTTTTCGTTAATTAATGGTGAATTTTTCCCCCCAACTTTTGACAGCTGTCAAAATCTGACAGCTCCATTATTTCCTATGGGGGAAGAAAAAATTCACAAAAAATTAAGGAAGACTCAGCAACTGGCTGTCAAAAGTTGGGGGGGAAAAATTCACCATAAATTAACGAAAAGTCAGATCAAAGCCAAATCAGGTTTGCACATGACTTAGGGGTCCTCTAACGAATCCAAGCATTTAGAACCGTTTTTGACCCTTCTAAGACACTTTTTTAATTGAAAAAAAAAACATCGTTAAGTGAAGCAGGGGACCTAAAATCGCATTCGTTATGCGAAGCATGGTCCCAAACTTCGCTAAGCGAAAATCGCCCATAGGAAACATCGTTATACGGTGCATATTATTTTCTAAAAAAACACATCGTTATGCGAATTAATCGCTAAACGAGGCAATCGTTAAGCGAGGCACCACTTGTACTTCATGTGCCCACTAATGTAACTCTGTATCACACTGATATGTAGCACAGATTGTGTTTTAAAATATACACCTTTTATTTTAACATTCAGGGCAATGTGCCTTGTTTTTTCTCTTCTCGCAATAACACTCTGAAGTAGATTAGAAAGAGTGTGACCTCATGCCAATTATTCAGTGAACTTCATGACTGAGCAAGAATTTGAATCTAGTTCTCTATGGAGTGGGGCAAGAGGCTGGCTGAATGTGGGGGAAGTTACCACTCTGGGGTTCAAGACAAGCTCCAGAGTCTCCCACTGGAGGAGGCAGGAGATCGAGGAGAAAAATCTAGGAAAAAGAAGACAGCAAAAAGAAACAGGCAGCCCACAGCTCACACCTAGAATCTCACCCCAGACAAAGAGCAGAGGAGCCACTGGTGCTCTGCACCAAACCCATTCAGGGCCATCATTCTCTTTTTCTGTCTCCTGTTCTTGCACAACAATGCACCAAAGACCACAACAGCCAGCAGTCCACAGGACCACCCCAATAGTTCCTCAGGATCTCCATACATTTAAATAAAGTCTTGGACCATCACCAGTTCTGCAGAACTGCCAGCACCCGGGCAGCTGCCCACCTTTGGCACCCAATAAAGATCCCACAAAGGGTTCTTTACAGTGCAGCAGCCCCAGCCTTGCAGCAAGCACATTCCTTTCCAAACTCCCCTTCCAAGTGGCCAAATGGAACAAGCTCCAGTGATAACACCACGAATGACAGTAAGCTGGCAGAAGGAACAGAGCAGCCTGGCTGGAACTCCAACAGTGGGAAAAGTGCGGGGGGGGGGAGGGCTTTCCAGATAATGACATCTCCAGTCTCCCTGATTCCTGGGGATCCTGCCGGGGAAGAAATCTTGACACTGGACTTCCTTAAAAGATGTGCCAAGAGACAAGTAGCAACCAGGAGTGAAGGCTCCACCATGCCCATTCCAGCAGAGCTGTTAAGTGTAACCTCTCAATGGCTCTCCCCCGTCGCAGGGAGCAGCGACCTATTTCTATGGTCCGCCCTCGAAGGCTACTGGATCCGGATGGATTCCAGGATGCCATGAG